AAGCATGTTTAAAGCTCTGTTGGATTTTGTGGTGGCCAATGAGGTGCTTTCATAAAATCATAGCATTGATTTTAGAGATGGAAGAGACATTTGAGTCATCTTACCCTGTCCCTGGCAGAATGCAAGAAAGTATACCTGACAGATGGTCATCCAGCCACTGCTTAAGTATTTCCAACCCACCAACTCCTCCTACTGTTTCACTATTGAGCAGCTCTTGCTGTGTGGAAGCTTGCCCTCATGCATAGTCAAAATCTAATTCCTTGCACTTTCTACCCACTGATTCTAGTTCTGTCCTCTGCTCCATCTTCTGTGCGACAGCCTTTCTGATATTTGAAAACCACTGTAATCTCTCTCTTTAGCCTTGTCCTCTCCAGGCTCTGCATCTTCAACACTTAGAACCATTCCACCTTTGATCAAACTTGCCTTCAATATTCCCCATCATCCCGGCTGCTTTCTTTCTAGTAAGCAATGGGCTAGTGCGGTCAAGTGGCAGCAGAGGAGCATTTCAAGACTGCCCTGGAGGCAAGGAGCACCATTCAACCTTTTGATACCCACTAGTAAGTTCTGATGGCTCCCACTCCGTCTCAGATGCTGGTTGAATTGTGCTGTTTGTTGGATTGTGGTAATCAAATTCTTTTTTAAAAACTGTTGTCATTTATTACAGTGGAATATGTTCTGTAACAGTGTTACGGTCAGACATGCATCCCACCACCAATTTCTGTGAGAGACCTGAAAATTAAAGTAGTTGAAATTTGCAAGGATCAACCTCTGAATATTCACTGATACCCCACCCACCAAGAAATCTATGCCTAAAATACCTTCTTGGCTATTTTAAATGCCCAGGTTCTCTGATTCCCCTTTTCCACTTCTACCATAACCCGTACTTTCATTTCCAATCTGGTCCTTTTCAAAGATTTATTCTTCTACCTTCAGAAGAACAAAATCACTTTTGCTCAAAGATGTTTAAGGAATTTAATATACTGGGATAATAGAGAGGTCCATCCAAGCAGTTTAATGTATTAATGCCATCATTGCAGAAACATTAAAGGACAAATTGAGAAACTTTTCATTTCTCCCTGAATTCCTATTAACAATAGCACAAGAGTTTTAAAAAGCATTCCTTGAGACAAGTACGGTGGGCAGGAGGGGGAAGGGGGAATACATATCAAAGAAGCATACCTGAAATATACTTTTGAAATATGGATGAGTTTGTAAGATGCATTGTTAATAATTATTGAAAGTGGCTCCTAAGGAGTGAAAGTATATTAACTTTGCCATTTTTTTCTAATGAAACTAAATTAAGACCCAAAATTCTACAAGGCATTGGAATGAAAAGGAATGCAGGTTCAGTAGGGAGAAATTACCAGCCATGCCATGTCTGTCTATAGCATTCTGTATTTCACTGCAGTTAGATTATTCCCCTCCTCACACAGCTAGAATAACTTCTATCTTCCTACACTGAAGATAATTTCAATCATGACTTGGTTTTGTGTGTGTGGTTTTTTTAAAAAAGAACATGACTTGATAGAGAGACTCAAGAGGGAGAAGTTCATTTTGGTAATTTAACTAAGGAAGGGGAAAAGGGCCATCCCAAACTACCAAGACACTTCACTGAAAAATTCATGGAGAGTTTAATTTTTAATCTTCTTAGAGAGACTTTCTGTTAGGAGAAAAATCCTGATTTACCACCAGGACCTTCAGCATGATTCAGGAAAGCATGCCTTGTCATGAAAAAAAGAAAAGAAAAAATCATTTATGAACTACAATGGTGAACCTGTGGCTCTCCGGGTATGATTGGACTACAATTCCCATTATCCTAAGGGAAGAAAAATTCACTATAGCTGAACCAAATGATTCGTTATTTTTTTTAAAAAGCATGAAAGTTCATCAGCTAAATGCAGAAAAGAAACTTTTATATGAGGCTATCCAATAAATCCGCTCTTATCTACAAGACATTAAAAAGCAAAGAACGGGAGTCAAGTGTGTAACATTAAGTATATTTATAAATAATGAGACTGGGGAGCCGAGAAAAGTAGGAGACATGTTTATGTGATTCATAAAATATGAGCTAATGGTCCGAGCAATTTCTAAGCATTTAATTTCTCAAAACAGATGTGCCAGGCTGCCTGGCATCCTATGACCTGAAAGTTGTTTCTCCACTCACAAATGAGTGAGCGGGCTGGTTTGCAAGGATCCATGGAGGGGGGACATTTTCATGTAGAATGCATGAAACATCCTCACTGAGGGAACATTTAGCAAGACCTAGAGTGGGAAATAAGAATATAAGAATAACTCAACTGGATTTGGCCAGTGGTCTAGTGTCCTGTTCTCACAGTGTGTAACTAGATGCCTATGGCAAGTCTGCGAGAAGGACCTGGGTGCAACAACACGTTTCCCTACTGCTGTTTCCAGCAATAGCATTGTACATGGACCCTTTGACCCTACCTGATCTCCCTTCACTATCTACCATATCAACATTCACCAGTAACTGTATAATGAAGGTGCTTCAGGAAACTAAGTTGTTGCAAAGTTATGGGATGTTAAGGATAGTAGGAAAGGATATATTGATTAAATATTATCCTTCCTTCTCTCATGCTAGTGAGTCATGTAGCAGAGCAGATTCCCCTCAATATAGCAGGAAGCTAGTTTGCAGATTCGTTTGAATCTCTTTAGTTAAGCAATCCAGTCTGGCTTGATCAGGCTGGATTATTCCTGGTGTCCCCTTTGATCCCTCTTAAAAGAATAAAGACACAAGGGTCTTTCCTTAAAAGTAACAAGAGGTTTGCTCACATTCAGTTCACAGTATGATCCCTGAAGGCAGGCTTTAGCTAGTAGTTACAGAACATAGTGTGAGTTAATCCCATATGGGGATTGAGCCCATGTGCTGCTGGCTGAGAGCCAGCAGACAGGAAAATCCATTAAGAGAACAGCATCAAGAGAACAAAATGGCTGCAGGAGAGCAGCATGGCATCAAGAGAGTGAGATGGCTGCATGACTTGGCTCTTTTATGGAGTCAGCCAAGGTCACGCCCTTCTCCCTGGTCACATGCAGGGGGAAGACACTCCAGGCCAGTGGAACAGGAAGTTATACTGACTGGAATAACACCCCCCTGCCTGTGTCCACTCTAGGAAAACAAGGAATGTTGTATTTGACTGCTCCAATGGATTACATCCCACAAAAGTTTCCTTGGTCTGTTAGGGTGTGAGGGAGAGATCTGCAGTTTTGATAGCTTCATTACTTGAATTTTATGTTTGGGGAAGCAGTTATTGGTATCATCCAATAATGCTCCTTCTTGAAGCCCTAGCTTGAGTGCTACTTGTTGATAGTTTTTAAAACCCTCTCTGTTTATACTGCAATGTATCCCAAGGGTGGTATTTCATGAAAATTGATGGTAAGAGGTTTCCTCTCAACAGATCATCAAATTCTCATTGCATGATTAAAAATGCACTTTTAGGCATGCTCAGTGATAAATCAGGCCCCTCACCTTTATGAATGAAAACATTATGCAGCATGTAAATTTCTAGAAATATAACTGATTGATATTTCATCCAACATTTATTTACCTCCCACCTCCAATGCTAGGTTGGACATGAGAAACATTTCCTCCTCTCAGTACTTTGACTTTTTCCTCTCCTAAAGGGTAGAGCCTTTTTATAGGTCACTATTCCAAATAACATCATCCCATTTGCATCCCATCCTTCCTCTGAGGAGTTCAGAGGGGTTAGGCTACATTATCCTCAAAACTGTGCGGTAGGCTCCCCTAGTCATGCTACCTTCTCTAAATGCTGCCCTGGCAGCCATTCTCTTTCCCTAGTATTTTCTCTGTAACAGCCGGCTCCATACATCTCAGAGGAGACTAAAAATCCTGTTAGAAACAATAATTGGAATGGCTTGAGGGGGTAAAATTATTTACACTTTCTTCCCGGTCTCAGTTAGCTTATGGCCAGAAACATGAGGATTCGTGCCTTTGATAGGATTATTTTTCATTTGAGGTAATGAAGAACTCTGCAACTTCTAAAAGTTAAAGAAGGACAGACACTCTTGAATTTGCTCCCCCAGTTAAAAGAGAGGGAGAGACAGATCGAGATGCAACCTATTTTTTTCTCCTCATTCTGGTCTTCTTCAAGAGCTTCGTATTACAAAGAGCCGCAGGAAGTGAGAGAGAGAGAGAGAGAGAAAGTTTTTTTGTGTGTGTTTGTGTGTGTGTGTGTGTGTGTGTGAGAGAGAGAGAGAGAGAGAGAGAGAGAGAGAGAGACTTGGGAAAGGTAATTTCACCCAATCTATTTAAAACCAGGTTAAAATGAATGACAACAGTCCCATTGTAACGGTGTGCTAGATGGTTTCAGGGTTTTCATTTGAACTCCTCTGGGGGACTTCCTGATGGCCACCCGCTTTTAGAACTCTTTCTGTTTGCACCACATAAAACAGCATTTTAGGATAACTCAGGAAATTCATTATTTCCTCCTATTACTTCATTATAAAGTTGGACAGCTGTCGCATTTTGGCTTGGTGGACGAAGTGCACATAGTTTTGAAGTTTCTAAGTTCTTTTTAAAACAACAAGAACACAATGCTGGAGAATGCAGTCACTTAATTAAAATGGGACCTAAGCATCACATGCTTATCCCCAGATAAAGTTTATGTTTATAAAGATGATCAGCGACCAAGCATGATCATCCTGATTTTCAGGCTCACTTTAAGAATTTGCAAACACTTTTGCAGATGAACACTGCTTTAGCCTGCCTCACCCATACTTTCCAGAGACCACTTTGAATCACTCTGCAACCAAACATTGCAACTGAAGATGCTCTTGAAGTTCCCATGTGCTTCAGCCATACAGAAAAATGCATAAAGCTTCATTTGGAGCCACATTTGTATGCAACCTTTAACCAAAACTTCTGACTTCATAAGGCTCAGTATGCACAAACTGCTTGCAGGACCCAACAGCCCCCACCCCCTTTTAGGCCAATTCACACATCCCTGGTAAAACAAGTTTGAGAAGGAGGTTAGCTTAGTGATAGAACATCTGCTTTGCATGCAGAAGTCCTCAGGTTCAATCTCCAGCATCTCCAAGTCTGAAACCTTGCAGAGCTGTTGCAATTCAGTCTAGACTGAGCTAAATGGACTCAGCTAGCTTCCTATGTTCTTAAGTCTGGATTCAGCACTTAACCATAGTTTCCTGTTGCATGCAAACCTGGAAACAAGGGCCAATGGCTGCAAAACAAGCTGGGGTTTTAATTGTGTTTTAAAGAATCCTGGAAGACAGTACGGGTGTCTGGCTGAACAGGGGCACCCCATGCAGCAACATTTCATTATTACCATCCAAATAACTGCACATTGTGTACAATATATTGTTGTACATAGAATAATAGAACTGTGGAGTTGGAAGGGACCCTGAGGATCATCCAGTCCAACTCCTTGTAATGCAGGAATATGCAGTAATTCCATAGGAATAATTTAAAATTACAGTAAGGTATAGTGTTTTTGTTCACATAATATACACTGTGGACTGAAATAAAGAAGAGAATAACCAGGCAACCTGGTGTGACCTTTCTGATAGTTGTGGCTGGACTGGTAATAGCTGGAAATGGGAAAGCACTTGACTGTTTTTACCTTTGAGAGGGGGCTACAACAGGTGTGGTACATCACACTTAGGGAAAGGCTAACCATGCTGCTAGCTGAAGGCTTTAAAGGGACACTCAGAGGAACAGGCTTTTATTAACACATGTGTTATGTACTAAGCTTGGATCCTAGAACAATAGGCTGGTAGGATCGTAGAATGCAACAACTGATTGGCCTGCAGGAAAAGACCAATCAGGCTCCAGTAGGGAAGCAGAATCAGCCAATCAGACGGGACTCATTGTGTAAATAATGTATATAAAAGCCTGAGGTTTGGGGGGCAATTCAACCACTGTTTTACAACCTGCAATAAAGAGCATGAAATCACTACAGGACTCTGAGCATATATTAAACAAAACAAATATGGAATAAACCTGCACATATTCCTCTGCTGGAATGTCTTGGGATAATGGTAGACTTTTTCTTTTTCTTTTTTGTCCATCACAGACTCTCCAAGAATGTCATTTTTGTATTCATGATTGGCCATAACAGTAACTCAAGAAGCTTTTGCTATTTGTTGGCTGTTAATTTCTTGAGCTCTAAAAGAAAGAAAGAAACCTGATATTTAAAACAAACAACCATAGCACTCGAAAGTTAGCAAATGTCTACCCAAATGATTAGAAAGTTGAAGTAATTTTAATGCAAGTTTTATGAAATTAGTCAATCAATCAATCAGGTTTGACCGTATGATATATTGATAAGTGGACCTTGATTATCTAATATTTCAGGATTGCTTATATCAGCAGACCTTGAAAGACCAGGAAGATAGGCAGAGGATGTGATGTGGCTGGATACTCCAGTGACTTGCAGTGGGTGCTTGGACATCTTAATCATTTTTTCATCCCTAAAACCTGAAGTCTGGGGATTGGATGGATTTTCTGATGTTATTTTCATTTTATACAAGCATGACCCCTGATACAAACAAGCCATCAGGTTGTTTTGCGATGATGCATTTTATTTTAATGTTCAGGGACCCTCTATATTTTATTGTAACCTTAAATGATTCAGGTACAGCGATATCATGAATACAAATTGCAGCTCCTTTGATCATCCTGTGCTTCTGTCTCAGAAACTGTTCCCTGCCCCTGTTCCCTGCATTCTGCCCCACTCATTTTTATTGCAGGTGGAGGGGAAGAAACTATTAGTGCAACTTAACAGGCCTTATGTGAAACATGAGGCACACTTTGTAATATGCATAAATACGCATCGTTATTATTAACAGTCCCTGTTTTCTGAACTTAGACAAAAGACATCGGGGAGGCTTTGGTATTGTATTTAATACCAGATAATTGGCTTTCTATTTTTCAAGAGATTAATGAAATTGCAAATTGCAATGTAACACCCACCCCACAACTGGCTCTTCTAAAACATCTTTGAAGAGAATGATAAAGGATTAAGCTGCAAGGAGTCGATTATCCATATGCTAACTGCAGCCAAAGCCACAATTAGACTGATTTTGGAGCGATCTAGCCAGAGCAGACATTTCTGACTGGTACGCCAAGTTATAGGAATCAGCCCGACCAGGAAAAAAATTGGCATATCAGTTGAGAACCTCTAGAGGACAAAAAAGTAAGGACAACTTCCTTTCTGTTTGGTATGGTTTTATTGTCTTAATAAAATAGAACATAGACAATGTCCCCAGCCTATAAATGGCTGTGGATAATGCAATAAAACAGGAACATGTGCAGAACTTCACAAACTAAGATTTGCTGGAAATGCAGCTCATCCCACTGGAAAATAATCTTTGTTATAATGTATATTATATCGAAAATTTGGAATGTATTACTGATGGCTCCCTTTTTTGTTTTTGCTTCAGCATTTCAAACCTGTCTTCTGTGATTATTTGTTCTGTGCTTGATTTTGCAATGTAAAAAAATTAGAAAGGGGGAGGAAACCAAAAGCTGACATTCCTGGGTGCTCTGGAGCTGTGAAATCAGTCGCTTTCTAGCTTTGCCAAATGCTTGCAGTGCTATTCATCTGGAAACCTGAAGGGGGCACTCACCTTCTATCATGCTGTAACTTGGGACTGTTAACACACGATTCCCTGGCCCCTTTATTCGTGGAGCAAAAACCTCTGCATTTGCTGGAATTAGAAATCTTGATTATTTCACAAGCCATGACTTCTGGGCCTGAAGCACATGGCCGTGTTACTAGGTCAATGCTGATGCCATCTATTCATGTTTATTTTGTAACAGAGCTAGTGAGGTCACTCCATCTGATGCAGTACTGGCTATTTATCTCTGCGGAGACACTGACAGACATAGACAAAAGGGTTGCTCTGCTATCTGCATTTGTGTAGCAGATATTAAAACGCGGCAGGATTTTGTCATTATTTCATCGCTTCATTTATTGATGCGTGTGGTTGTTGTTTTTTTATAACGCATCTTGGGGAAATGTTACCTTGACCTGTCCAAAATGCTGTTCTTCAATGTATAATGTATAATAATGTATAATATCTACTATACATTTTGGATAATTGCCTGTCTGTTTGCTAAGCATGCAGACACCTCTTAAGGTATCTCTACCAAATCTTCCTTGATGGTTTCTGAGATCAAATAGTAGGGATTTTGGGGGGTCTGTGTTTGGATACAACTGGGTACCATTTCATTGAAGGAGGTAGTGGCAAGAGAAAGAAAGAAACTGGGCAAAAGTAGGAGTTCATAGTACGGCTAACAGGCCAAACTATTAAAAAAATGCAGAATTATGCCTACAATAGGATTTTTATTCTTAGGACTGGTTCATATGTCCTTTGGCGATCACTTGTAGCCAAGTAAGATTGTCTCCCATAAACACGGTTTTAACAATGAGTCTGTAAGTGACTGTGGAGGCCAATTCTGGATCCATACATCCTTCCACAGTGGGGACATTGGTTTCTGGGTGGGAGCTGATCACGGTGTGGATCTGCCAAGTGAGCTTTCAGCTTAGCATGTTTCTCCCTTGCATTCTGAGTTCATGTGTCTTCAAACCCCATGACACTTTTGGTAAAGGCTGTTCTCCAATTGGAGGGCTCGCAGGCAAGTGTTTCCCAATTGTTGGTGTTTATACTACATTTTTTTTTTTTAGATTTACCTTGAGACAGTCTTTAAATCTCTGTTGTTGACCACCAGCACTGTGCTTTCCATTTTTAAGTTCAGAATAGAGTAGTTGCTTTGGAAGGCGATAATCAGGCATCTGCACAACATGACCAGTCCAACGAAGTTGATGTTGAAGAATCATTGCTTCAGTACTGGTGATCTTTGCTTCTTCCAGTACACTAAGTAAGTACTGGCCAGTTGCCAATCTCCCCTTCTTGGGCAAGGTTCTTGAGTGGGTGATCACAGACTCTTGGAGGAAACCAATTTTCCAAATCCATTTCAGTTGGGGTTTACGCCCAGTTTTGGCACACACAAAAACTGCTTTGGTCACCCTGCATGATGACCTCTGTTGGGAGAGAGACAGGGGGAAAGTGACCCTGTTAATTCCCCTCAACCTCTCAGCAGCTTTAAATACCACCAACTACTGCATCCTTCTGGAGCAGCTGTCTGAGTTGAGGGTGGGCACCACTGCTTTGCCAGAGTGGCTGGGGAAACCCAGCGAGGTAGGCGGGGTAATCATCATCATCATCATCATCCTTTTGCGGTGGTCATTTCCAGAGGGTGATGCTTGGGGAGTGCTTTTCAGCCCTGAGGAGACTTCAATGTGGAGTATCTGGAGTTTTCGAGTGTGTTGTTAGCAATATGCTGATGACACACAGCTCTACTTCTTCTTTACATCTGAAGTTGTGGCAGTGGAGGCGCTGGACCCTTGTCTTGCCTTGGTAATGGACTGGATGAGAGCCAACAATCCAGCTCAATCCAGATAAGACTGTTAGTGGTTGGTTTCCTAGAGCAGATGGCTGAGAGGTTGCCTGCTCTTGAGGAAGGGTTACATTTCCTCTGAGGGAGTTGGTACGTAGCTTGGAGACACTCCTGGAGCCATTGATGTTGCTTGAGGCTCTGTTGGCTTAGACTCAAGTGCCCAGGCTATATTTTGATTCAGCTAGTTAATTTGATTTGTTGGTTGGCAGATCCTCTTTTTTGGGTTATATTTTATATACATATAATCAATTTTAACCACAGTTTGTCCCACAAGGCAATTGAGTCCCATTTTCTTTTTCCTATTCCTCATTCCGCACATTCATTCTCTGTGAAATTGTTGAGTTAGAATCCAGCAGTGACTCCCATATCCCAAAGAGATTTCATGTGGGCTGATGACATGCAACAAAAGCAAAATCATATCTCATCAAATTGAAAATAGATAATAGATATGATGGGAATGAAGTCAAACTAATCTTTCAGAGGCAACCTTAACATCTAGACCGCCTTTAATATTCCTGTCCTTGACATTACCGCCCTAAATCATATCCTACCAGTGTGTTTGTGGGTTGTTGGTTTTTTTATTTGTTTGATGGGTACAACTGATATCGGCACGCAAAATGTCACACAATGTCACAAATGCAGACTTCTTTAAAGTCTGAGCATTACTGGCGTGCAGCTGTAGGAGGTTGTGTTGATGTTTCTTCTTAGAAAAGCTTCTTAAATGCCAGTGCCCACAGTCACAACAACAAATATGCTGTGTGTGTGTGTGTGTGTGTGTGTGTGTGTGTTTTTCTAAGAATATGTGCAATCAGAACGCATGAAATCATTACTAAAAAGCCATCTGGTGGGCGACAGTGCTCCTCTTTTCAGCTTTGTAAAGTCAGTAACCTTGGCGGAGTGGCCAAAATAAGAGATGCTGTTTAAAGAGATAGTAGTACTGAGCCCTGCTCCTGCCCGTTTAAACAGCACCTGCCATTAAAAAAAGAGAGAGAGAAAAGGGAGAGGAGGGGCTCCAATTGAAATGGGTGTTTTAGGTCATTTTGCATAGCTCCATCCTTCTCACCGATTCACCAGTTTTCTGATAGTTGTATGGAAGGGTGCTCCAAGCATCTCCCCTCAAGGAGCTCTTTGTGAGTACATCAGTACATGCATAATGCCTCTTATCCAATAGCAAACTTAATAGCAATTATTAAGTTTGCAGATGACACCACCATAATGGGTTTAATAACAGGTGGAGACGAATCAGTGTATAGAGAGGAGGTCCGAAAAATATCTACATGGTGCCTAGGGAACAACTTTCATCTTAATATCAGCAAGACAAAGGAGATGGTGTTGGACTTTCGGAAGAAGAGAGGAGAACTAGCCCCTCTGTACATCGGGGAGGGCTGTGTGGAAAGAGTCTCTTCCTTTATATTCCTAGGAGTTTATCTCAGTGAAGACCTTACCTGGAAAATAAATAAACCCAGGTGGTTAAGAAAGCCCAACAGAGACTCCATCTCCTCAGAGTATTGCAGAAGTATGATGTCAATCAACATTTGATCATTTCCTTCTACCGGTCAACAATAGAAAGTGTCCTTTCATACTGCATCACGGTGTAGTACGCTGGTTTGACATCATCTGATAGGAAGTGCCTACAGAGGGTGGTGAATACAGCACAAGATATTATGGGCTGTTCCGTGAATCTGTTGGATGAAATAGCAGAAGAACGTTGCCTCAGGAGAGTAAGGAAAATTCTCAGGGATGATTCACACCCTGGCCAGCACTTTCTTGATCTCCTGCCCTCAGGCAGAAGATATAGAAGCATGATTAGTCGCACCAACAGGGTAAAGAACAGCTTCTATCCATGGGCTGTTAGGCTGCTGAATGAAAACATAACAACAGGGCAAGTTACTTTTGGGTTTGGTGGGTGTGCGTCAGTAAGCGAGGGGAATTAAGACTTAAGAGAGCTGAGTGGGGGGTGCTCATGTAATCTCACTGTATACAAGTTGTACAAGTGACAATATAGTATTTCAATTTCAATATCCAGATCGAGCCCACCCATGAGGCAAGGTGAGGTGACTGCCTCAGGCTGCAGAATTCACCAGGACAACAGATCCCAATGTCAATCTTTCTCCCTCCCTCATCCATTCTTCCCTGGCAGGGAGTGGGAGTACTATTTGGGGATCTACCTCAGGTGCCAAAACGTCTTGAGATGGTCCTGTTCTTATCACAGGGCAAGCTGGAGAACGTGGGCAACTGGCACAACAATGGTGAGAGGTGGGCTGACCTGCATGGACCCCACCCCTCATGTTTTTTAACCTCCCCATTTTTTATCCCCATTCGACAATGAACAGCTTCACCTATAATCAAATCTGTACATACGTAGCTAAGATAGGTAATGACTAGGGAAACGATATAAGCCTGTTTTTCGCAACCCAGTTGCCTGGTGTTGTTCTGACATCTATCCCCAAGCCGACTCCGGTGCTTCTCTTTGCCTGCATCTAAACATCTGTAAATGTTTAGATCTCTGTTTATGATGGAGTATAATTTGTCTGTTTATCGAGATTGCCTGGTTGCCGCTGTTCTGAGTTATGCTGACATTATTTACGCTTAACAATGCTTTTAAAAGGTAACACACGCACACCCCGCTCAAAAATGCATTTGTAATGAAGAGCCAGAGTGAGTGGAAGAATATCTGTGATAAGTAAATAAATTATCGTAAGTTATCAACAAGTGTGGTCTAATATGGGGCAGCACACACTTCCTCAGGATGCACCCTGAAAATGGTATCTATGCTTGTTCCTCATGATGGCTTTGCCTCAACAGCTTCTGAAGACCAGTGGGTGGAAACCACAGGAGAAAGTGGTCTTGTGCTCGAATCCTGCCTGCCGCTTTCCCACAGGAATCTGATTTGCCTCTGTGAGAACAATATGCTGGACTACATGGAACTGGCAGAAATGACTGGCAGAATCCGAGACCAGGGAGAAGAGTCGGTGGAAGAAGATTGGAAAAAATTTAAAGTATACTTACAGAAACATTGTAAAATTAATGAGTGTTAGAAGGATGCTGGAATGAAGTTATATGGTTTAAGTAGAAATGCAACAAAGAATTAAGTAAAAGCTGATTGATAACAGGTTAAAATGAAAAAATTCAAGGTTAGACCGTTAAGATAAATTATAGAATAAAAATTGAGAAAGATGGGAAGAATTTGCTGAAATAGGGAATTGAGCTAGAATACAAAAAAAAGGGAGGTGTGAGGAGGTCGATGAAACAAGTAAAGGAAAGGTAAAGATATGGAATATTGGATGTGTGTTTTAGTTTTTGTGTGTGTGTTTTCTTTTGCTGTATTGTTGTATTGCCTTTCTATGTTTTTTTTCTCTTTTTTATTGTTGTCTTTTTTCTTTTTTCTGTAATTTTTAAACTTTTAATAAATATCATTAAGAAAAAAAAAGAGAACAATATGCTGGACTACATGGTCCACTGGCCTGATCCAGCAGGCCCATATTATGTTCTTATGCTATGCTTTTATCTGAAAGGACCTACTTTAGGTTTGAAGTGTTTTTTGTTTACTAATATATTTACTTATTAGCTGACTCTTTATAGGTAAAGATATAAAAGGTAAAGGACCCCTGGATGGTTAAGTCCAGTCAAAGGAGACTATGGGGTTACAGCACTCATCTCGCTTTCAGGCCGAGGGAGCCAGCGTTTGTCCACAGAAAGCTTTCTGGGTCGTGTTGGCAGCATGACTAAACCACTACTGGCTCATGGAGGACCGTGACAAGTGCCAGAGCGCACGGAAACACCGTTTACTTTCCCGCTGCAGCAGTACCTATTTATCTACTTGCACTGGTGTGCTTTCGAACTGCTAGGTTGGCAGGAGCTGGGACAGAGCAACAGGAACTCACTTTATCGCAGGGATTCGAACCGCGACCTTCCAATCAGCAAGCCCAAGAGGTTCAGTGGTTTAGACCACAGCGCCACCTGCGTCCCTTGCTGACTCTTTATATTCTGCCTTCGGGGCGATAAAAAGATGATCAAAATTAAAACTATCAAATTACACACACACACACACACACACACACACACACACACACAGCACCCAATCTACATAATGATTCAGCAAGAGCTAGGGATGGACACCTTACTTCATTTCTGGTCCTTGGTAGTTTTGCAAGTATCCATTCATACCTTTTCCAAGTATATTCTGCCTTACTCTACTAAAAACAAAAGAATCTGTTCAAAGATTAATTTTTAAACATGTATTTAAATATTTTAATACTATTTTACCACAAATTACACATTTCAAAACATACATTATCCTAGGGCCGGCACTTCTATATGCATTTTGGTACATTGTGGTGTTTGTTTGTTTTTTGTGTGTTTTTGAGCAAAGAATTGCACTGCAAAATTTATAGTATTGAAAAATCTGAATTACAACTTCATGCTGATCCACACATTAGTGAGGGAGGTATGGATCTGATCAGTTCATATCAGAATTTGCAAAATAAATAAATAAATAAATAAATAAATAAATAAATCCTCATTTATCAAGACATAGGGAAGTAATAAAAATAGTAGAAAAAGTTGTTCCATGTCTTGTTGGATTCCGTGCAACAGGAACTCCCATAATGCCCTATGCCTATACCATAAGTCTGTTTTATGGAAAGCACATGCAATGTTTTTCTCAGTGTTAGCCGGTAATATTTACAATTACTGACAGTATGCCTTTTAGAACTGGAAGTTTCCATGTGCCTCGGTGAAAGCATGTTGTAATTTGCCTGTCACTTCTCTCAAAAGTTCATTGGCATTGTCAAGTCATGTTTAACTCAGTGGGAAAATTGAGATTTCATACTTTAGTGATTTTGCAAGGCACTCTTCCCACCTCGAGCTTTCCTGAGCAAATTGCAACCATTTCCCCTTTAGAAATTAGCAGCAGCATTCATTAAAAATGTCCAAATGCTAATGACAGCGAAAATCGCTACCTGCTCTTCTGGAGCAATGGTTATTTTAAATATCACTCCCCAAGGTATAATTCTGCTGAAGGATGGAGGCTCGGCTGTGGACTCATCTACAAGGCTGCCACAATGGTGGGACAAGGTACAGGCAAATGTCCCATACAATGTCCTCTGATAATGTACCCAGACAGAAAACAACCTGTGGCATTTTGTACTGGGGCTGAAGCAGGTGAAAGGAAGTGTGTGTGTCAAAAGCGGAGGCAAAGTCTTCTGGCTGTTGTGTGACATTTCAGCATCAACGTGTCAAAAGAAAAGAATCTGACACTGCTTCTATAATAGAGGTTACCTTATTGTCCCTATTTTAATCTTCATGCATCACAAAGCATTAGGTCTGCCTGGAGTCTTTGTTAGGGAACACCCCAGAGAAGGGCTGATCCCAGATAGGAAAACAGAAGAAAATAAACCTTCCCACTGGGTCAGATTAAGGTAGTCAACTGTGCAAGGAAGAAAAACTTGATGGAAATAAATGAATAAGGGATAAGCATCATGGTACCGGATGTCTGTGTTGGACTATCCTGCCAGGATTCGGCCACTAGAACAGTGGTTTGTGGTCTAGTGGGAATAGAGGGACTAGGCTAGTCTCCTAAATGTTTCTGGTAAAGGTAAAGGGAGCCCTGACCATTAGGTCCAGTCGTGACTGACTCTGGGGTTGCAGCGCTCATCTCGCTTTATTGGCCAAGGGAGCCGGCGTACAGCTTCCGGGTTATGTGGCCAGCATGAGTAAGCCGCTTCTGGCGAACCAGAGCAGCGCACGGAAACACCCTTTACCTTCCCGCCGGAGCGGTACCTCTTTATCTACTTGCACTTTGATGTGCTTTTGAACTGCTAGGTTGGCAGGAGCTGGGACCAAGCAAAGGGAGCTCACCCCTTCACGGGGATTCAAACCGCCGGCCTTCTGATCGGCAAGTCCTAGGCTCTGTGGTTTAACCCACAGTGCCACCGTGTCCTTATAATGTTTCTGGTAAATTGGTATATTTAAGTATTAAAGCCTGGTGCCTCCTTCCCAAAGCCCGGGAAGCTTCTGTCCGGCTTAGGGACAGAGTTGCGATGCTCCAACGGTGTCTAAGAGCCCTTCCACCACCTTCCCAAAGCCCACTGTACGTGGAAAACAGGTCCTCAACTATGAAGCTTCTTACAATAAGATAAATGCACAAAACTTTCATGTGTCCATTTGGGTTGATAGTTTCATACAAGAGTGCTGCTTTCTTTAGTGTAATTCTTTTCTTTGCTTTTTTTAAAAAAATCACCAATGAACTTTGAAACTTCTACAGCAAGGAGAAAAGCTTCCTCTGCCAGGGTTCTGAACATAATGCCGATTACATGTTGCTGTTAAATACGCAAACCCTCCAGCTCTCGAATGAGCCTGAGTCCTGAATGTGTCACTCAGCTCCATCCTCGATGCCTGACAATTGCCCAAGTATGTACCAGTTCCAGTTGGGAGTGCATTTTATCTCTTTTCCTGATGCCTATTGGCTATTTAGGGAACTTAAATGACTTCCCTGCCGTTTATGCTTGGATGTATCATAAGGCTGCTATACTGGGATTCCAAAGGCACAATTGACATCTGGGGGGGAAATTGGCAACCCTAATATCAAACAGCTGAAGAAACGTCCTCCGCCTATTCCTGCTCATCCCCCAAGGACCTCTGAGTCAAGCTGCCTGTCAAGGTTTAATTAATTTATACTTTGTATCCTACAGAGCAAAAGCAGCAGGTTCCCCCCTGTTCCTTCCTTTAATATTTCCATGCAGTAGGTAGGATCTTATTTGTAATTGTTGAGATATGTATAATAAACAAATGCATATACTCTGACCTTCAGCTTCCTACTTGAGTGTAATAAATCAAACAAACACTGGGAAGTAATCATATTATGTTTACCCATTATTATGGTAATGCATGCTAATAAAGGGTCTGATCTCTCTTCAGTTGAAGTCAATGGAAAAGAAAATGCTCACGCGTGGTCTTGAATGTAAGCTGGGTCTTGTTTTTTGTTGTTGTTGTTTGTTTGTTTTTGAGAATAGGAACCACAAATAGATAATATAATAATAATAATAACAACAACAACAACAACAATAATTATAACAATAATAATTTTTATTTATACCCCGCCCTCCCCAGCCAAGGCCAGGCTCAGGGCGGCTAACAAGCAATAATAAAAACAAGTTGAATGAATACAACTTAAAAACAAGATTAAAATACAACATTAAAATATTGAAACATTAAAATATTAAAATGCAGCCTCATCACAGGAGGAGAAAGTAAAAAGAAAGAGGGGGAGGGAATCAAATGAGCGTTCAGGAAGGAGCAGAACACACGGTACACTCTTTTTCAAATATCTTACATTTTCTATCAGTTTGCATTAACTTTCACATCTCAATTAATGGTACTATATTTGTTTGAGGCCCAGCTGGCCCTGCCATTAGGCAGGGTGAAGACACTGCTCCAGGCGGCAGAATCCCCTGATGTGGAATGCTCTCAGATGCCCAGCCTGTCCCACCGTCTCTGCCAGTGGCAAGATTATGTCCCTTTTGGGTGCAATCTTATCTGAAATCAGGGATATCTTGTCCAAAGTTGGTGCTGATGGTGGTGCAATGGGGCGCGTGGTGCTGGTGGCAAGAGCAGGTAGGTGGTGGTAGTAGGAGTGGCACCAGCGGCAGGCCCAAGTGGCACTTCCTGTTTCTCCTCAGGCGGCAAAATGGGATGCGCCACCCCTGGTTTGAGGGCTCCATTTTAGATATTGAAGCTGTACAGTTGCTTATACTTCTTATTACAGAAGGAAGACTATCCGTTGCACAAAAATGGAAATCCTCTGGAGAACGAAACAAAGCTCTGTGGTACAGAAATGTCTGGGAAAGTGCAACAGCTGGAAAACAACAACAATGTGAGTTCAGATTAATGAGAGGCATAGGCAGGCCATGTGATTTTTATGTAGTGCAGCATTCCTTTATTTCATACACAAATCAGAAAGATATGAAATATCCACCATGCTCAGCAGCCTTGAAAATGTGGAGGCCATAAATTTAAAGTAGCAACAAAGCAATGTTTTGAAAGGGTGGAAAAAAAACAACTATTTTCTGTTATTCATCCCTGTAATTTAATTGGGTTTTTACACAATTTTTACAGAAGAGGAAGAAAATGGAGAAACATAATTATTTACTTTGTAAATAAGATTAATTACTTTAGAGATTATATATTATTGTACCAAATTCATGAACTGTGAAAAGGTGGTTGGTTATTATATTTTTAGTAGTCTTTCCTAATACATTTTGTTTGTCTGTTTTCTTGAGCACATTAATAAAATGTGTGTGTGTGGGTGGCAGAGGAAGGAAAGTGGGCATGATATTTCAGTTCTGTTGTATTTTCCAAATAATGTTCTGAATGCACTTGCTCTACATGGAAGACTAGGGGCTCACAGGTCCTCCAATATTTCTCCGATGAAAATAGGGAGGTCCCATTCCATAGTGATAATTTTACTATTTATACCCCATACATCTTACTGGGTTGCCCCAGCCACTCTGGGCAGCTTCCAACATATATAAAAACATAATAAAACATAAAACATTAAAACAACCTTTCCTATAAAGGATTGTCTTCAGACAGCTTGGGAGCTGGATAACTCCATACCCTCCAACATTTCTCCAATGGAAATAGGGACATCTGAAGGAAAAGCAGAACATTCCAGGATAAAATCAGAAATCGGGACAGCTTCTCTAATTCAGGGATATCCCTGGAAAATAGGGACACTTGGAGGGTCTGGGCTCATGCACACTTCTGATTGTTCCATGCCTAGGAAGTACAGCCTCTGAGAGGTTTTCCATTTCATAGAATCATAGAATCATAGAATCATAGAATCTTAGCTAAAGCACCCATTACAGGTGGCCATCCAACCTCTGCTTAAAAACCTCCAAGGAAGGAGCATCCACAACGTCTCAAGGGAGACCGTTCCACTGTCAAACAGCTCTTGCTGTCAGAAAGCTTTTTCTGAAGTTTAGTCAGAATCTCCTTCCTTGAAACTTGATGCCATTGGTTCAAGTCCTACCCTTGAGCGCAGGAGAAAGCAAGCTTGTTCCCTCTTCCATGTGACAGCCCCTGAAATATTTTAAGATGGCTCTCAGTCTCCTCTTTTCTGGGCTTAGGATACCGAGCAACTTCAAGCATTCCTCATAAGGCTTGGTTTCCAGACCCTTGATCGTCTTGGTTGCCCTCCTCTGCACACGTTCCAGCTTCTCAACATCCTTCTTGAATTGTGGTGTCCAGAATTGGACACAGTATTACAGGTGTGGTCTGACCAAGGCAGAATAGAATGGGGCTATTACTTCCCTTCATTTGAACAGTGTCCATCAACTTTGTCCAGTGTCCATCAACTTTTTGGGGGGGCAGCCCCCTCAAATATATATATATAGTTGGTTGGCTTCACAGGACATCTTTGGCCACTTGCCCTCTAGCTGTCCTCTACAAACCTGTATACTTCTTTGTATATTGAGAATC